CTGGAGGGTCAGCCTAGATCGGGGGTTCAAGTCCTGACATGAGGCTTGAACCCACAGCTTTCTGCACCCCCCACCCCCTCCCCAAGGCGAGAGCATGATTGCGTTGACATCTAAAACTACAGGAACTGTCGTTCTATTGCAGCTATGGGTCTCGTAACCTTAATTGTACACTTTCACCTGCCCTGTCGATGCTAAAATGAGCCTGTTTTTCAGAAATACAGAAGGAATGAGATTGGATATAATAATAAAAATAATAATAATAATAGTCCTTGCATTTGACATAGTGCCTTATCACGTCATCGAGACAACTCTGAAAGTGTTTCACAGAATATACAGTAAGGTGAAGTGAATTGACTGTTTATTTTGTGGGCGAAACGCGGCAGCCAAATGCACACAGCAACGTCCCATAAACAGTCGTGGATTGAGTGACCAAATTTATATTTATTTTTGAAGGAATTATTACCCCCAGAAAGCGATCCGCCGTTTGACTGATAGACCGTGACTAGACATCAAAAAGCTGAGTGCCGCTTGTGGTGGAGAGGGACACAGGACGCGTGCAGGTTTGGGGGCAGCGAGGGATTCATTGACAACATCAAAGCAGATAATAGCCTGTAACTCATTCTCGGCCGCCCACAACTCCATAATAAACCAACTTGAAAGCCTTCCCCCCTCCTGAAAGGCAATCAAAAAAAACACAACGGCTGTAGGGAGTTTATGATTTAATCTGTGAAGCAGGAGAGCCATCGGGTATCGTAAACCTGCGCGAGGGGCGCGACATAAATACAAGTTGTTGTTGTAACAGTGCGTAGAGCCGGGCAGGGTCAGGGAAAGGAAGTCAGAATATTTATGAGAGTTTAAATGTCTACAAGAGGGGGGAAAAAAACACAGATCGCTTTCAATAATTGATTGCACTTTTCCTCTCTGAGCTGTTCGGTGTGTGTTGAATTTGTTGAGAGGCGACGATCTCTTCTGTGCAGTTACTGTAGGTCCCTGCGGTGGGAGATGGGCATCTTCACGGAGAGACCAGCTACAGCATAGCAACAGGTCGCCCGGCCCGTCATGGCTGTACCTCAGTTCCCTGCGTTTTCCAAGCCGGCTTTTTTTTTATTAATTCCCATTTCCCGGCTCTCTCCCACGTCCCTTAATAGCTTTACTGCTCGGTTGCAGACCGAGTGAGTTTTGAAGGACTCCGTTGATACAACCAGCGCTGGAATGGTCAGAATAGTGAAGGTGGTAACTGATATCTAGCAGAAGGATTTAGTTCGGGCCCCAGAACAGACCCCCACTCAATGCCTCCCCCCCAGTTCACCATCGGATGTGCCAGAGGCAGACTGTTTGCCCCCTTCCTCCTCTCCCCTCTGTGCTCAATGGGCAAGCCCATAGAGGCAGGCTCGACATCTGACTTGTGGATCGCAGTGTTTAATGCCCAGTTGGAGGGATACCAGTTCTCCAGGTGAACCGAGAGCTCTGAATAACCGGCCTCAGCAGCCCAGGTGTGAGGAGGGTCTGAGGGTGAATTTATTTAGCAACTCAGGACATCCTCCCGACGCGCTGTACAAATGTAATTTGTTTTTATTGTTCTTGGATTCTTTCCGACACGAATCACGCCATTGTGCGCCCTGAAACAACCGTGTCGGAGCACTGGCTGCCCGTGACTCACGTCTAGAAGAAATCGTCCCTTTTCCACTCGGAGCTGGTAGCGAGAAATCGAGTCTGGGAAACGGCCGGGCTCAGACCTCGGCATCTCAGCACCTTTTCCAGCCACTCAGAGCCCATCTGAGCAAGTAACTGGAGTCTTGTGGCTCAATGGTTAGAGCACTCACCTCTCAAGCGAGAGACCTGGGTTCGATTCCCCAGCAGGGCGAAACTTTGGGCAAGTTTGTTTACTCCACACGCCTCTGTTTACCTAACAGTAAGTAGGAATCTGGTTGTTAGTCGATTGGAGGATCGCTTTTCCTGGGTAATAATTCCTTCAAAAAAAGAATTATAATAAATTGGTCACTCAATCCACGACTGTTTGTGGGACATTGCTGTGTGCAATTATTGTTGTGGCAAATGCCTGGAATTGTCATCTCCAGGCTTGCCATCTAACGTATGTTAATGTTCGCACCCAGAGGCGTTTGATATTTCACAAAAAATCCATGTTCTCAGAAGTGACATTGTGTTTTTTTGACTAAATATTTAAATCACCTCCAGGTGGGAACGTTCTCTCCCTCTCACTTCCACTGAAATGTTGTCACAGCTGATTAGCTCTCTGAATTTTTCCAGATCTGTTTCATGCTCAATTAGATCTCAGTGTTTGGAGGAAGGTCTGTATGCGACTGTAGTCAAAACTTTCAGTGCATCAAGTGCCAAACAGAAGCAAGCTTTCATTGAAATATATATATTTTTTCCTCTCTCATCTTTTTCTCCCTCATTTGTGGAGTCCTGTAGGGTAGTGATTAGAGCACTTGCCTCGCAAAGCGAGAGGACCCGGGTTTGATTCCCAGGCGGGGCGAGTTTCCGTACTCCACACGCCTCTGTTTACCAGCAGTCAGTAGGAACCCGGTTGTTAGTCGATTGGCGGATCACTTTTTTTCTGGGGGTAATAATCCTTTCAGAAAAAAATATAAAATGTAATGATTTGGTCACTCAGTCCATGAGAGTTTGTGGGACTCTACTGTGCGCGATTGGCTGCTGCATTTTGCCCACAAAATATGCAGTCAATTCACTTCACAGTATCCTCTGTGAAGCACGGTCTTATCCTAATTATTTCTATTATTAATTTGGTATTTTTATTATTAATCTGGCTGACCAGGCGCTGCTAGTCCCCAGGGGCTCCAGTAGGAGGTGCACATGAGTACGGGGTTCCTGTTGTGACTGCGTTGTAAAGCTCTTTGCAGAAATTGTTGTGAAGTATAGTCAAATTTTTTGGTGGTGTTTAGTTGGAGGTTTGGGGAGAAACTTCTCTTGTAAGAGTGGAGCGAGATCATTAACCCTCGCCTGAAGAACGGGCGGATTGAAGGGTGGCAGCTCTTACAATACAGGCCTCCCCCCCCCCCCCATTGCTGAACTGGAATGTTGCTCTGAACTCAGAACCTAAAGTGGGGCTTGAACCCACAACCAGAGGCCAGAGAGCTAAGACTCTTTTTATATGACAACAAGGGACCGGCATAAAACTGGCAAACACATGAAATGAAAGTGAATAGGCAAGTTAGCGGTAAAGACAGATGGAGATGGCTTTTGTAAGGGGGTGGATCTAGCTTCTGCGTCAGGGCAATCCAGGAACAATGGTCATAAAGAACCCGTAGGCTTGACTGGACAACTTGGATCAACGAGTCTTTATTGGGCACTTTTGGGGATTTCTGCATTGACACATTTATGAGCTGCGGAATCTAAAAGAACACAGTGGCTCAAGTACCTCGCAGCTACCTGGCTTCCGGGAATGTTTGTGAGAAGCTTATAAAGAATAATTCATTTGGCATTTGATTTTTTGATACCTTTGGGAACAAACAATTGCACCAGACAGGAGATGGAGCTGAAATATGGAGAGAGGCACGGAAAGCTACTCAGGAGCTCCGCACTTCAGAGGTTACCCTTTCAAAGGCTGCACAAAAAACCTCCAGTACATCACAGGGCTGACATCTCGATACCCAGCGGTCAACGCGATTATTTTTTTAAGCCGGAGATTTTTCAAACGAATACCTTCGATTTAACTTTCCAATCTTCGGGGGGGGGGGGTGGGGGCGGGGGTTTAGGATGACTTGCCAAAAAAAAAATTAACAGACCTAGAGGGGAAAAAATTGCACAAACCGGAGATTTATTAAATAAAATATTTATTACAAATGAGTGCAGTTCTTTTTTTACATTGTTACAGCAGTTCACTGCCAAGGTAAAAACTGTAATAGATTAATCATTGGGTTATTCTTTCTCCCACGGAGGAAGCTGGTTCATGGCTTTGAATTTTAGATAGAGGGATTCCGAATAAAAAGACCTGTGACGATCCAGTGACCGGAATCCTAGAAATAATAATGATAATAATAATAATAATAATTCTTTCATTTGATATAGAATCTTATCACGTTGTGGAGAGGCAGGTGACTGGGGATAAGAAAAGGACTTACAATAATATAGATGTAATAATCCTTGTGTTTGACATAGTGCCTTATCATGTCGTTGAGACGTCTTTAAGCGCTTCACAGAATATACTGTAAAGTGGATGGACGGTGTATTTTATGGGCCAATTGCGCACAGCAGTGCCCCACAAATAGTCGTGGATTGAGTATAATTTTTATACATATACACACACATATATATGGTTGAGGCCTGTGAACTCTGAGAGACATTTCCGTTCCATTTACCTGTGCACGGTGCTTGTACTAGTCTCATCTCGAAGGTCCCCTTAAAGTCAACGTGATGCATGTGTCACTGGGGCCTGTGAGTGTTGGAGGCTGACGTGAGATGTATTTCATCCGTATTAAGCGATCAAACCCGATTGATTTTGAAGTGAATAGGTGACGGGTCAAGGGTAAAGCAATGCTAAACGCTGGTCCCATTGTCCCGCCGCACATTACTAACCCTTTTAAAAGCACTTAACGCAATTAGCTGCTCGCTGTGAAATATCGTTCGCGTTCTTTACTCTGTTGGTTCCACGTGGCGGGGGAACTGAAACTGACACTTAATTCGGAAAGATCCATCGAGATTGGTATCATTCTCAGATTGTCGCACGAGTGAGGGATTCCTGATGATAACATGAGGCTGTGTTTGTGGGTGAAGGGGGCACGGAATGTACACGTGCTTTTCTTTGGTAATAATCCTCGCATTTGATATAGCGCCTGATCACGTCTTCTAGACATCTCAAAGTGCTTCACAGAGCGCACTGTAAAGCAAACTGACTGTATGTTTGTGGGCGAAACGCGGCAGCCAATTTGCCCACGGCCATTACTGTTATTTCAGTGATCCTCTTATGTGCTGAGTGGATCAAGTCTCACCCGTCTTCCCTCCTCTCTTATGTTTTTCAGGAAATCGCAGCTTATTTAATAACATTCGAGAAACATGAAGAATGGCTAACAACTTCCCCCAAAACCAGGTAAGTGGGATGTGCTCCGCTCGCTCTGTGTACCTGCCTTCGCCTCCTCTCTCGCACCCCCTCTTGCCTTCTCTCCCCCTCCCTTTCCCCTATCCCCTTCTCCCTCCCCCTCCCCCACCCTCTCTCTCCCCCTCCCCTCGCCCTCTCTCCCCTTCCCCTCCCTCCGTCTCCTCCCTCTTCCTTTCCCTCTGAAATATTTGAATCTCTTTGCAAATCCCTTGGAATCCTTTAAATCCCAAGTGTAACGTCGTCGGAAGATAATTGAGATCTAACCCCGTTCAGTGTCTGTGTCAGTCTTTCAAGCTGAGCCGGGGCAACAATGGGCTTTTCACAGGCTCCTGAAACTCCGCTGTTTAGTGTATTCATTATGTGACTGTGCCCTTAGTCTCCTCATGGAAGTATCACCGGGTCACAGGCAGGAAACCGAACACTGTGCAGCAACACTGACTCCTCAGCAAACTCAGCCCCGGCCTGGCTTCACGCTGAATATTTTACATTAAAAAAAATTGCGGTTTGGCCATCTTCCTGAACTGCCCTTTAATAAGGTTGTAGGTCAGGGAAGTGCTGTTTGAATATCACAGGATGAATTCCCACCGAGAGTCACACCATTTCCTTTCAGCATTTAAGGTTGCGCAGAGTTTTGTCAAATTTTTCTACTCAGCCTTGGTTTGGAAGACGATTTTCTGCACTTCTTAAAAAGTAGCAGCTTCTAACAGAATCCAGGCCGAGTGCTGTCTGTCTTGTTTATTGCCTTTGCGCACTCCTTCAACACATTGAGCATCAAGAAACATTTAGTTAGGGCCCCAGAATAGACCCTCACTTAATGCGTCCCCCCATTTCCACTTAGCTCCCCTAACAACTACCATCTGCCTCCTTCTCTTTAGCCAGTTACTAATCCACAGCCCTGTCTTAACCTTAATACTTGGTGACAGATTTTGAAAGGAGCCTCTCATGTGGTACTTGGTCAGAGGCCTTTTGAAACGTGTTGGCTTTCAGCCTCTTGAGTCTATCTAGAACCTCAAGGTTAACACATCCAAAGGAAAGCTCCTCTGACAACACAGCACTGTCTCTACCCCCCACCCCCCCAACCACGCCCTCCCCCCACGCCCCCCCCCCCCCACCAGGCTCGAGGGGCTTGAACCCTCGACCATCTCACCCGTGCCTTACTGCACACGTCTAAAAGAAACACGTCTTTGATGGCTCTGGGCAGGGGAAAGCTTTATAAATTTATCTCGGCCGCACTTTAAATGTCGAAAGGTGAACTGTTCCGAAAATGTTATTGAATTGCTTGGCCCACAGTGCTGCAAGTCTCATTCCGACATAAAGCACCCTCGGCCTATAACAGGGCCTGACATAATACAGTCTGTCAAAAGACTCGCGGAGTACGGCTTGCAGATGATTAAAAGTCTCTTGAATTCGCCATCACTTTCTCCACTCGGCTGCCTCCCCCCAGACCCCAAGCTCTCGGCTACTGCAGATTTGATTTGTAATGGGCAAAAAAAGGGGGGAATCATTGTCGAGGTTGAGTCATCAGACAGAGAGAGAAAGAGGACATCTCGGGATTTCGGCCTGCACAGCTCTGTAATAACCACATAATTAAATTACTGCTGATCTCGGAACTGCAAGATTTAGATCAAGGAGTTGATGTGCGAGGAGAGTCTTGTCAGCCTGGCTCAGTCTGTCGTTCTCTCACCTCTGGCTTAGAAGCTTGTGGGTTCAAGTCCCCTGTTGGGGCTTTAAGCTCACTGTCTAGACTGCCTCTCCAGCTTAGTACTTAGTATCTTCGATTTAATGTCTGGTACTGGGGTAACAGACATTAAACTGAAGTCCCCCCTGCCTGTTCAGGTGGATGTTAAAGATCCTGTGACCCCAAAAGAGAAGAGAGTTTCTCCTGGTGTCTTAATAAATCGGTCATTCACTTTAGAGCTGTGTATGGGATATTGCTGTGCACAAATTGGCTGCCTTGTTTGCCCAGAAACACACTTGACAGCAATTATCTGCAAAACACTTTGAGACTTTTTGACATAAATGGCGCTAGAACAACAATAACAACAAGAAATTGCATTTATAGAGCACCTTTCATGTCGGGAGGATGTCCCAAGGCGCTGGACAGTCAGGGATCAGGACCTGAGCATCGGGGAGGGGTGGGGTAGGGGTGAGGGAAGGCAGAGAGGTGGGAGGGAGATTGAAGGCACGATCGAAGAAGAGGGTCTTGAGAGAGGCCTTGTAGGAGGCAAGGGAGGAAGCGAGGCGAAGGGACTGTGGGATGGAGTTCCAGAGTGTGGGGGCAGAGAGGCTGAAAGCCCGGCCACCGATGGTAGAGCGGGTTGGGCAGGAGACATGGAGCAGGCCGGAGCCCGCTGAACGGGGGGAGCGGGCAGGTTGGTAGGGAGTCAGCAGGTCAGAGAGGTAGGAGGGGGCAAAGCCATGGGTGGCCTTGAAAGTGAGGACGAGGATCTTGAATTCGGGGATGGGGAGCCAGTGGAGTTGGGCGAGGGTGGGAATGATGGGGTCATGGAGGCTGGTGCGCGAGAATACACGAGCTGCAGAGTTTTGAATGATCTGCAGCTTGTGAAGGGTCAAACAAGACCCCCAGGTTCCTGACTGGCTTAGTGAGGTTGAGTGTGCAGCCGTGGAGGCTAATGCTGCCAGCGCCGAGGTGAGGAGGTGCTGGGGTGAGCCAATCAAGAGGGCCTTGGCCTTGCTGACTTTCAGTTGGAGAAAGTTGTCCCTCGTCCAGGACTTGATATAGGACAGGAAGCCAGTAGTTTTGGAGTTGAGGGTGGAGGCAGAGAGATAGAGTTGGGTGTCATCTGCATATATGTGGAAATTTACCCCATGTCTGCAGATGATGTCACCAAGAGGGGGCATGTAGAGGGTGAAGAGGAGAGAACCGAGGACAGAGACCTGAGGAACACTGCATGAGACTGTGCGGGGGCTGGAGGAGAAGCTGTTTGCAGTGACGAAGTGGAGGCGGTGTGAAAGGTAGGACCTGAACCAGTCAAGGACAGAACCTTGAAGTTGAGGTGGGAGGAGAGGCGGTGGAGGAGGATTGACTGGTTCACAGTATCAAAGGCGGCGGAGAGGTCGAGGAGGACGAGGAGGCAGAGGGAGCCCTGGTCACACATAGTCAGGATGTCATTTGTGACCTTGACCAGAGCAGTTTCCGTGCTGTGGGCAGCACAGAAACCCGATTGGAGGGGCTCATGGAGGGAGTGGGAGGAAAGAGCGAAGCTGGGAGGCGACGGCTCTCCCAAGGACCTTAGCCAGAAAAGGGAGATGGGAGAGGTGGCTGGATAGCTGTGATGGGTCGAGGGAAGGTTTCTTCAAGGTGGGGATGATAGTGGCTGTTTTGAAGGGGGCAGGAACATTGTCAGATGACAGGGAGAGGTTGATGATGTCGGTGAATGGAAGAAGATCCACTTGCCCACTGGGCAAGGAGGTGGAGCTGGGATTTAAGGAGAGGGGTGGGGATGGGGTACAGGGAGTAGGTGGTGAGCTTCATGGAGGATACGGTGGTGATGAAAGAGGAGGGGGTGACCGGTTCAAAGATGTGGAAAGAGGAATGGGTAGTGGTCGGAGTGTGGGGGAGGGGGTGGAAGTTGGGGGGGGCAGTGGCAGCTGAGCAGATTCCCTCGATTTTGGACTCGAGGAAGTCCAGCATTTCCTCGCAGTAGGAGTCGGAGGAAAGAATCTGTGAGGCATAGCAGGGAGGATGGAGGAGCCGGTTGGTGGTGAACAAGAGCCTCGGGTTATACTTCGCCTCCAGGATTAACCTGGAGTAGAAAGACGATTTGGCTGAGGCGAGAGCGGAGTGGTAGGTTTTGATGAGGTCCAGCCAGATGTGGACCGTTAGGCTGAATTTGAGCCATGTGCGTTCAGCAGCCCGCACCTGGCCCTTGAGCGAGCGGAGGTGGCTGGTGAACCAGGGTGAGGATCGGGAATAGGTGGCAGTTCGGGAGGTGAGGGGGGGTGGGCAAGGGGGTCGAGTGTGGTGGAGAGGGTGCTGTGGAGGAGAGTAAACGCAGGGGATGGGTTGGTGCGGGAGGAGTTCAGAGGACTCGTTGCCTTGAGCAACGAACCGGGAACAGTTACATTTGATTTTTATGTATTTTTTTAACAAAATCTCAACAGAGCTGTTGTGGCATTGGCAGAGAACGAAGGAGAGGGTGTGAGGAAAGCCAGTCCATCAGTGGGTTTGCGCTGAGCATACCATCAGTTGCTAAGCACTCCATTTATTTACAAGGAAAATAATTAGTGGAATGAATCTCAATTCGCCGCAAGGTGTATTGACGGCAGGAATGATAGCCTCCAGCTCAGGGAGGAGTGTTAGCAGCTGCTGGAAGGAGCGAGGCCAGCGCTGGTTTGAGTTGCTTGTGTCCACACTCTCTAGAGGTGCTCTCAGTCGTTGCTTCCTTCAGGCTCTGTGCTGTTCCTCCCATCTGCTATCGAATGAGGAGACTCTCTTATCTCTTTCTCTCTCTTTCTCGAAGCACGAACAGCAATCTTCGAGGAGTGTCTGTTTTTTCAGGGCTTACCTCGACAAATCAGCTGAAAGTCCGAGATCCCAAAGCAGTGCAGCTCATGTTTACTTGTTGCCAACTCACCAGATGGGGGGGGGGGTGGAGCAAGAGAGAGGGAACCCTCTCAATTTATCTGTCAGTCCCTGTGTGGCTCTTCGGTTTAAATATTGAAGACATATAAAAAAAATTACTGTTTTTGTGCCATGTTTCGCCCACAAAATATACAGTCAATTCACTTTACAGTATATTCCGTGAAGCGCTTTGAGACGTCTCGAAGACGTGATAAGGCGCCGTATCAAATCCAAGGTTTATTTATTTTACTCTTCAGTCTTTGCTTCTGTTCAGAGAGACTGAAAGCATCAATTCAGTCAGTCCATTTATTTAAACACTCATCTAGGTGCTGGTGGTACAAACAGAACACGCACATACAGTGTGGATCTACATATGGAGTACACGAGACGTACATATGTGTGAGGC